GCGCGTTCTCAGCCGCCAGCTTCGCCTTCGGGCGCACTGGCCGGGGCTGCTTGGGGGTTTGCTGGTTAAAAGAGAAAAAACTAAAAAGTAATCTGAGTCATCAAGTTGTCTGAACTTTGGGGTTGTACAAAGCGCAGTTTGTATGTCTGTGGTCAGGGTGGAGGACTCTTACAAGTACATCTGAACAGGGCTATAGGTGTTGGTATTACCAGCAAAGTCTAGTCTACAAGTTAGATGAAATAATGCTGCGTGCCAAGGTGTATTTTTGAGACTAAAAACATGTTTCATGGATGTAGACAAAGTTTAGGGACTAAGGCAGACTGCTAGTGGGAACTTCCCTGCCTTCCTCCATCTCAGTGTTCCCAGGGAACAAATTTAAGCCTCATTAAATTCTAGATTTGAGAGTTGGACAGATGTGGTACTGCGAAGGTGTTGCAGAGAATTTATAAACGTTTCTGAAGACCGCTTCTGAGATACGGCATCTTTGAGGCAGCAAGCTGAGCATCTCTGAAACGATTTTGCTTGACAGGTTTGATGAAAAGGAGAATGTATCAAACTGCATCCAGCTGAAGACTTCAGTTATTAAAGGTATTAAGAATCAGCTGATAGACCAGTTTCCTGTTATTGAACCATGGCTAAACCAAATTATGCCAAAGAAAGACCCAGTCAAAATAGTAAGATGGTAAGTTTCTTTTCTCTTAACCCTTGCTTACAAGGTGATAGGACTGCTTCCTTTATATGTTTATTTTTGTATAGTAGATGAACCTAGTGGTTTTGAAAGGCTTCTCATTTCATATAGATAATAGTCTGTGTTATGGCCAAAGCAGAAAGCTTGCATGTGCTCATCTCGCTCTTGATGGCATGCTAGCGGGACACTTGAGGAAAACAAAAATGCTTCCTAGGAGTGAATGTGCAACATATTTGGGGGCTTTCCAGGGATCAGCCTGTTACTGAAGAGAAGCATTCAGCTTTAGGGATAGGGAAGCTCAAACTTGTTTGGATAGCTTCCAGTAGCTTTTTTTTTTTTTACTATTTTTGGGCTTCTATATATTATCTGAATTATTTTCTTTTTTTATATAGAGGATAGTATATTTTTGCTGATTCCTTCTCCTTGTCCGCTCTTTGTATTGCATTTGAAAAAAACCCACAGAACTGCAGTTTGTGAACAGCTGGATGTTTGTGGATTTCTTTCTTTTTTTCTTTCTTTTTTTTAAAGGGGAAGGAAGTGTGCAGGAAGCTAGTGTTGACGAACAAGTCATAAAAAAAGAGAATTTTTTTAGTTTTCTTGCTAACTGACTGTCTTAATTCTCAGATGCCAAGATAGACCAGACTCTGTGAAGTGAAATATTTCATTTAAAGTATAAAAGTGTTAAGTAGCTATTGGAATATTTTTGTTTTAATCTTGCAGTCATGAACATATAGAAATCCTCACTGTGAATGGGGAGCTGCTGTTCTTCAGACAAAGAGAAGGGATTTTTTACCCAACACTAAGGCTGCTTCACAAATGTAAGTTTCCTGAAGATGGTAGTGATGGGGAGAGAGGAGTGAGCGCATGATTTCACAGGACTTCTGTACAAACAAATTAAACAGAACTTACTGCTTACATGCATATATATATATTTTTATATATATATATTCTCCAGAGTAGATCTTAAAGATATAGTATGCCTTCTCAACTGTAATTGCTTTGCTATTTGAGGTGCCTATATAGATTGCTTCCCCCTTAATTATTGTAATGCTATATGTTAAGCAATCTAAACATTGATTTCTAAGAATTAAATGTGCAAAGCTCTGCAAAAAATCTTGAGCAAGGTTTCCCTAGGACAGAAATCTAAATTTCCTGTTGTTAGGCCCTATCTTTGTTCTTGCAAGTCTTCCTTTAAACCCTTTTTGCTTCCTTCCAAATACTTGTAGGTTCTTACTAGAAAAATGTTCTTTAATCATGAGTTTAATGATAATTAACTTCGTATATAACAAAACAAGTATGCTTGTCTCCTGTAAGAATTTATGCTGCGTACCTTTTACAGTTTACTCTCTTGCATTATTTTTCTTGATGTTCTCACTCTTATGCTTGATTGTATTATGCTGATGTGGATGAGCGTAGGTGTCCCTAAAAATGTTACTCAGTCAAATCTCAGTCTTTGAAATACTTCAAGAAGGTGCTTGCACTTGAAGGATGGCTTGGAGAGCTGACAGCCTTCATGAATTTTGTGCATATTTGTCTTTTTTGTCCTGTTAACATTAAACTGCTGCTTTTTCATGTAAGTGGTTATACATGTAACTTGAGGGATTTAAGACCCCTTGGTTTTAAGATCTCTCGGTATGTGGGCACTCGGGTGATTGTTTTCATTGGGGGGATTTGTTAAACGTATGCAGGAGGCATAGGCCTAGTGGTGGATTGTCCTTTGGATCTCAGATAAAAGATGTGGTCTGGGAGAACATCACTTGTAATACCCTTTCGGGACAGTATAGCCCAGTAGGGGCTCCAGTAATTATTTCTCAAACTTCCTACCCTTGCAGCACACTATATATCTAATTGCCCCATCTAAACTGACTTGATAATGAGTTACTAATGTTGTCATCTTACTGTATTAATTGTAATGCTGTATCTTTCCCCTCCTAGACCCATTTATTCTACCACATCAGCAAGTTGATAAAGGCGCCATTAAATTTGTACTAAGTGGAGCTAATATAATGTGCCCTGGCCTGACATCTCCTGGAGCAAAACTTTACCCTGCTGCCGTTGATACTGTTGTTGTATCCTTCTTTAACTATGAGTTACTGCTTGTTGTGTGATGAGTCAAATTTCTGTTCTTGTGTTCTCAGCTGATCTTAATCTGAATTACTTTGGGTTTTTGATGGTATTTCATGGAATAACTAGTAATCTGAAAAGAGCTGCAGGGTTCAGATGTTATTTGGCCGGGTTAAAATGGTTCTTAATTTTTTTTTTTTTTACTTACTGGGATGTTCGAAACCAAATAATTATTCTTTTTGGTGGGATGCTGTTCCATTAATCTAATTGATGCATGGAGCTCCTTTGTGATTTTGTGCAAAATTTTAAAAATGAGGTGCAGTGTAATTTGTCCCCTACCTCCTTAATCAATCTTGTATCTCCTTCAATTCTAGAAGAATTTGCTTCTGTTCCTAGGGAATTTGGAAAGATGTTTAGGATCAGCTTTACTGTAGTCAGGACTTGCTCTATGTGTCTGAAATTAGCATATGTAAAATTAGGAAAGTATGCTAATTCACTCCTGCTTATGATATTACTGAGAAAGGAACCCTGAGCAAATACAGCATTAGTAATACCAAGCTTTTGTTGTTTGTTAGATGCTATAGGAAAAGATCAGCAGTTGGTATCCCATGTTGTGAAGCTTTGAAAAGAACACATCTGATTTCAGTACTTACATGTTTTTTTTAGATTTGTATCTCAATTCTTCTGTACCTGGGAATCTAAAATGGCCCCACAAACATGCAGTTTTGTTCCAGAAAGGGTGAGACTTTCATCTCTGTGTTAGGCAGAAAGGAAGAAATGGAGTGTAGTGCTGGGAGATCTTTTTCTGTAATTGCTGTTTGAAGTTCATAAATACATGCTTTGTTCTACACACTGTGATTCAATTGTTAAATGCAGTGCATTGTTGTGCTTATCTTTAAGAGCTAGAGCTCTAGAATTACTGAAGGGGTAAAAGTTTAACAAGGGATTTTGAAACTTTGGAAAGTTGTTTCCTCATACTGCTTTTACTTTTCTGAAATAGTTTAAAAAAAAAAAATCTATTTTCCTTAGCGGTAATTTGTAGGCAATAATGGCAGAGGGAAAACAACATGCATTATGTGTGGGAGTAATGAAGATGTCAGCTGAGGACATGTAAGTGCTTTAAAAATTGAAATATAATCAATCCCACGTCATTATTCCTATGTTTGGAATATAAGCACCACTGTCAAGGTTACTGCATCACTGTTCCAGTGTATGTTGTTCAAGTACAGAATTTATTTAAGGTTTCATTTTGTTGATTAATATTTGGGTAAGGAAGAGGAGAAAGGGAATATCTTCCCTACTTAGTTCTTTACCAAGCGGAATCAAAGTATTTCCTTCATGTGAATATGGATTTTAAGACACACAACATTAGTACTACCTCTGAATGTTAGTATTTCTTGCCCTCTGATCATACTTCTCAAAGATCTTGCTGAACAAAGACATAATCTGTATAGAATACTTACTACCTGGTCCGGGCAAGAGATGTAATGTGGATTTGAGGTGGTTGAAAATGTCGATGTGTTTGTGGGTTGGTTTTTTTTTCCCTTGTCTGCAGGGACAGCAGAGACTAGTCCTGCTGGTACTTGATTGACCACCTCGGCTTTCCTCCGTGGCCGCCTTTTTTTTCTTTGTGTTGTACTTCCTGCCTGATGTGCTTATTAGTTTAGCTAAGCTTTTTGTGGAATGTAGAGGTCTGTCTGGGGCATAAACATGAACTAAAAACTATTTGAGAAGGAAAAGAGACAGAAAATGGAAACGGATGATGGTTGTTCCTAGCATTCAGATAGTGCTAAGTTATAAGCAGCTAAACCACATCGTCATTTTAAGTTCTATGATGTCTTCCAGCAGGATGTAATAAGATGCACCCAGCAGGTTTGGGCTGTGTTGGTTCCAGCTCTGTGTAGCACTTGCGTGGGTGAGGAAGGTGGTTTTGATGAGAACGAGTCACTGTTTGTTGTGGGGCTAATTCTCAGTGAAATCATCTTCTGTCCTGGGTCACTCTGCGGTACTAAGTTGTAATGGTGGCACAAGGGAGAGAGGTGGAAGCGTGTTACAGAGGGATAGAGTGGGACTGCAGCAACCTGGATTTGGACCTGCTGTAGCTGTTGGGGAATTACATTCCTCAGGATTCTTTGTAGTGCCTTCAAAAGACTCCAAGAGTAGGTGGAAAGAATAGCTGCTTTTGTCCCAGTCCTACTGGACTGATGGCTGTGACCACTGCAAACCAAGATTATCTGTATTCCTAACTTCAAATTCAGCAGCATTGCAGCCTGTGAGAAGCCACATACACTGGAGAGGAAAATGAAATGATCCTGATCTATGCAGCCTTTTAGCCTGCCTTTTTGTGTGATATTGTTTAAAACAGAAAATTGTGAAACAGTATGATTTCAGTCTCTTGGTGTGCTTATGATGCATGATGTGTTCATGGAATTAACATAGCAGCGTTTTCCTTCCTGATTTACTTTTGTGTAAGTAATGGAACACTTAGGGTAAATATGGTAAATGATATTCTCCAGGGGAATGAAAGTTGTTCTCAGTCCTAGAATAATTAGATTTGTTTATTGTGACAAAACTAAATTTTTTCCATGGAATAATACACTGGATGAAAGACGAACACAAATCCAATGCAGATGCACAAAATAACCATACGTTGATGTGATTCAAAAGATACAGAAGGATGGTATGTCTGTGACATGCTGGAAGTCCTTGGCACAGAAATTTAGCATTGCTAATGCTTTGAATGGGTAGATGTCTTGTAACTAGCAGTGAAGCAGCTCACCTGTCTTTGACTGTGTCAGTGGCACACATGGAACCAGAACTTGTCAAATTCCACAGTCCAGCCATGTTGCACCACCTGCTGTGCTAGGAGAGGGGACTCACATAAAACTGCTGTGCTATTTTGGTAGAGAAAAGCTAAAATCAAGAAAAATAGCAGAAGTGTTGTCTGAAGAACTGCCTCCCACAAAGAAGTAGTTAAAAATATTGTGCAAGGTTGTTGACAAAATGTGGAAGACAAATATTGTCATCTTATCATTCAGCAATGTGGGTGCATGTAATAACAAATACTGTTTTTTGTCCACCTGCTGTTCAAGTTTTTTTACTTTGTCATAGCTTCTCCCCTTCCAATTGATAAATACTGCATTTTCTACTTTAAATATTGTATTTTGTACTGCTCTAATATTTCACTTAGCTAATACTTCTGTACCTTTTTCCTTCTTCTACAGTGAGAAGGTCAACAAAGGGATTGGTATTGAAAATATCCACTATTTAAATGATGGCCTTTGGCATATGAAGACATACAAGTGAAACAAAAGGAACTGTGTTGCTCCAAAGGAATGCACTTAGATTAAATGTGGACTGCTTTGTAATTCCTTGTTTTTAATGTGACTGAATGTACAAATTATTTTGTTCTGTGGCTATGCTAAATAAATCAAGTGAATGCGAAAGTACTGTTAGGCTACAATAGTTTTCTAGATTTCTTTTTATTACAGTTCTTTTGTTTTGTCTTAAACCCAAGTCTTCAGTGACTGAAGATATCTGATGGGAAGATCCTGCATGGACTGTGAGTAGACTATTTCAAACAAAAAGGAGGAAAAAGCCAAGAAATGTTTACATTTTTATGCTCTTCTAAAAGAGTAATATAAAGCCTATGTGAAATACGATTAATATGGTTTATAAAACCTCTGAAACATTTCAGATTATTTTCTTCTGATTAACATCTTGTTAGTCTACCTGTTTCTTGAATGTGGAGAAATCAGGTTTTTGGATGCTTATTTTTTAACTTAATTTATTAACAGCATTAACTATTAACTTCAGTATTTTACTTAGGGATTTTCTCTTTTTAATATGCATTTATCTGTATAGAATTTATGAACTTAAACTGGTATGTGGACTAGAAATTCCTTTTATGCTAGTTCATACCTGAAGAATATATAGATGTTCCAGTTTCTACCTGCCAACACTGTTTGATATCGCTCTCCTTATAGTGGAGTTTATAGTAATGGTGGGCACACTCCAGATGGAGTGTGTGCCAACTTGGTGCCTGATGCTCTACCCCGTGTTTGCCGCCTTATTTTAGGAGCAGAAACAAAATCGCTGTTTAAGAAAGGCATGATAGCAAAACATGGTTATCGCTGTAGCCAGGAGCAGCTTCTTCAGGTGGAACTTCAAAAGAGGTCTCAGCTTGTGTGCACTGCCACATGTATGTACACCTACACAGCGGGTTAAAGAGCACTGTGTATTTGTCTGAATAACCCAACTCTGTTCAGCAACTGCATATGCAAAGCTATGCCTATGGAAAACAGCCTGTGCCATGGAATCATTCAATAAACTAAGGAAACGTTTAAGGTCTACCACTCATCACTCTGTCTCTGGAAGCATTTATTAATATTTCAAGTCTCTCTTCTAACACTTGTGTTTTATAATGGCAGAACGTAATTGTCTATGCAGGTGCCTTCTGTTGGTGCTGTTCTGCATGTTTGTTTCCTCACTCTGTTACTGTTACAGAAGATAGTGGCACAGATATTGTCCATCTGATTTTAAAGTCAAATTAAGACATGGGAGATGGAATGTGTTACCTAGTATGTGCTACTTTTAAGTTTCTGTAAAATTATTTACAAAATCGTACTTTTAAAATGACAGGATAAATCTGAAGCTATTTATTAATGTAGGAAAAGAAAAATTAGGGTGATTATTACAGCAGTGTTGCAGAAAAAAGTTTGGTCAAACCTCAGACCTTCCCTTCAGAATGCCAATGGACATTTTTATGCATCTTAAAGACTCTGCTATAAATGTACCAATTTCTTATTAGTGCTATGGGGAATTAGTTTGTACTGCAGTGGCTCTTTTTTGCATAAAATGAGCTAGTCTTGGGTTCTGTGGCTTTCTTTTTCCCCTTCCATCTTGTTTTCTGTTGTGTTACCGTACCTCTCAAATCTGTGATACATGAGGTTCATTCTGGTTTGAATTGTTAATGCCCTTTTTTTCCTTGACTTGCCCTGTGACTGCTGTTGTTGCAGTGGGGTCAGAACTGTCTTTGATATCAGAAACACCACTGAAATCAAAATTTTACTTTCTTCATCTGGCTTTGTGAGAGTATTTCCAACTGTGGATCTAACCTTTGGGGGGGAAAAAAAAAAGGTTTTGTAAGAAAATACAAGTTAAATTGTGCTTAATTTAAATTGTATACCCATTTAGCAAAATGTTATCAGAAGTACTAACTTAAGTTTTACCTCGGTTTTGGCAGCTGTCATACACACTTTTGTTATGGCAGCTGAACTCAGACTGATGTGGAGGAGGGGAATGTGCAAAAGGTGAGACAAGGTGCACCTTCTGAAACAGCTGAGCTGTGGTATCTTGCCTGGGGATCTGAGCAGTTGTCTTGCTATTCTTGTTAAAAATGAAGGCCCTGATGCTTAAAACAAAAAAGACGTGGATATTCTCAGCTCTGAAGCAGCTGTTTTACTTCTCCACCTGCCCCCTTGCAGCTTAGGATAGGATGAGGTATTATAAAGTTAAAGAAAGGTGAGATAAAAGACCTGAGAAGAGAGTATGTTATGGATACTGCAGTACCAATAAAGCCTGTGATAGTCTGAGGTGTAGTACCTTCCTTAAGTCTTGAAACATCCAGGTCAGGTCAGTGAATTCTAAATGGAATAAATATTGAAGTGCTGTTTATTCCCATTGGCAGTGACTGGAAGGGAGTGTGACCTGGTAACTTGCAGAAAACTGATTTCAAGTGCACTCAATTGTAAACACCACCCTACTCCCCCAGCCCAACCAAAGAAAACCCCACCCCACAACACCACAACAAAAAATCAGCTGGCAATCCCCCTCCAACCACTATTGGGGAGTTCTGAATATTGCTTTGTTGTGCATGTAACCTGTTTTGTGTAATATTCAAATAAAGGCTGGGAGTACACTTTCTGCATCTTTAGAATTAAAATATCTACCCTACATTTGTATTGACAGGTAATAGTATTTACAAGGAAGAAGTTGGTTAGCACCACTAACAGGATGCTTACATATAAAGTGAAATTTTAAATGAGCAATTACCCTTGTGCTAACGGGCCATGTTAATGCTTCTTCAGATAAAGTTATCTCTTTTGTCTGCTTAAAAACAGCAGTCCAAAGGTCACTTAATACTACTCTGCTGCACCTTCCTAACAGATCGCATCAGCTTGTTTCCTGCCAATTCCTTCCTGGGTTAGGCGGCTATCCATAAAGGTACTAATTAAACAGCATAGCTCAAGCTATTGTGTAGTTTAGTGTAAAGGAAATAGCTTAAAGTTAGTCTTTGAGACTGAATCTGTAGTCAGTTTTATTGGTACATCTTAGAAAGATATAGACATTCTAGAAATGCCTGGAAGAATGGAAAGAATCAAAGTCTTGCAAAAATATATTTGTAACAGTAGACTAAGGTTCACTTGAGTTTTCATTAATAAATATTTACATATAAAACCCCCCCATATAAACTTAATTTCCTTTTATCATAAACATTAACAACTTCATCATTTCATTCCAGCACTGTCAAAAGCCAGAAGCATTTCTGTATAAAAGATTTAGAAAAAAAGTTCTCCTTCCACTTTTAAAATTAAGAGTTTTACCAAACCTTGATGTGCAAAAAAAATTGTACACTAGTACCACCAGATACAAAAGTCACATCTGTCAGTACAAACGTGTGTCATGAAGAGCTGCCTCCATGGTTCCAGGTTTTTCTCTGAAGGGACATCAGTCATTGTCCGAGCCTGCAGGTGGAAGGAAGACAAGCGCATCATTGTATGTGTGGCCATAGGGCCTCAGCCTGTAAACACCGTACATCATCACGTGCATGTGGTTCGGGGCCAGTCCGCTGAACGTGATGGCTGTGTCGGAGCAGCAGCCATCCACCACCTGCTGAGGGTGAGTGGACATTGCTTCCTTAATCAGAGCACCGACTGATTTAGTGTTAAAGACATCTTTTCCTTCTGAATCTTCTGCGTTTTCGGCAAACACTCCAGTATACTTCAGGCAGATGGCTAGTTGTTTATCCTCAGCAAGTTTCCAAATCATACCTCCCTGCTCTGGACACTTGTCAGCGTCTTCAAGAACATGGGAGAGTCGTCTTAGTGATTCAATGCTTAAGACTATTCCTCCCTCACCATCTACATACTCAAGGTCACCGGATTTCACAGTATGGCCTATATAAAAAGGCTGAGAGGGGTCTTTTTTCAGTAAGAAATACTTGAGATTTTCAATAATAGCAAACGTTGTTGGATATGCCAGGAAGAACCAGCTGAATTCATCCTTGTAGCGTTCGTATGTTATCTTGTAAGCTTTTCTCATCATCACCCACATATCATTTGTGTTGAGAGCTACAGAATCAAACACTTTGACGTTTTCAGAGCTGTAGAATTCCACCCTGTCACAGTGCTTGCTCCACGTTTCTTTTACTGCAGCCCAGTGCCCCAGATCTTTCGGTTTCACAAGGATGATACAGTAAACATGGATACTTTTACTAAGCTCCATGCGTTCACCCTCCGAAAGGTTTAAGACATCTTCTTTGTTGGGAGCCTGGATGTGATGATGCTCGTGGTGGTGTGCTTTAGTCCCGTGGCCCACCTTGATGTGGCCGAGGAGGGTAACCAGCATGCAGAAGGCTCCTCCTAGCACCACGCCCTTCACAAAGGAGCTGCCTTCAGAAATCATTTTTCCTAGAAAGGAGACATAGTGTAAGAACTTATAGGACTCGGTTTACAGCTGCCGGTTCTGTGCTGTTTTAATACGTTCTTCAATTCCTGGCTCCAGCTGCACTTGCCTTAACTGACGTACCAGGGCAGGAGGCAGTTCCCAGTCCCGGCTCTCGTTACCGCTAACGGGACGACAGATCCCCGCGGGC